TTGAGTCTAATTAAACTCCAATTAAAACGCAACCCTATATAGGAACGCGTTTTAATCGAGTTCATATCGCAACTATATTAAAAGTTAATTCAACTATATTAAAAGTTAATTCAATGGTGGCTCCACAATTCATGGGACGTGTGTGCGTGCGTGTGTGTGTGCGTGCGTGTGTGTGTGCGTGCGTGCGTGCGTGCGTGTGTGTGTAGATGGTAATTGGTTCATGAGAAGTCGCTCTGCCAAAAATTATGCAAATTAGCCCCCAAAAACTCTACTGTGGCGGTCTATAGTTAGTGCGCCATCTATAGTATGGTGTTGGAATAACTTTGTTTATAAATAAGTCTGTGCGTCCCTGTGTCGGTCAGTCGAATTGTTTCCGTCTGTGTGGGCAGGTCGATTCTCCTGTTAAATCGACTGAATTCCTTCCAAAGACGGAACTAAAGAGGTTATGGATAATGTGGAACTCTTGGGACAGACGAAATCATGTTTTGAATTTACTGACTGGCAGAAGTCTTTTCTGAAAGTTGTGGTTGTGTGGATCGACCCCAGAGGTTGCAGTCTGCTGTTGCCATTGTGTTGAACGAAACCGTGGTTGAACCTAGCTGCAATTCTGTAGCTCACTTGGTTTCGCTGTCGGTTATTTTGTTCGTCGTCGTGTTAACGCGAAACCATGGAGCTACAGTTCCATCCTTTGCGAGTTACCCTATTTTACCAAACTGAAATCAGGTCGGGTCGTAACAGCTGTTTTTTTTTTTTTTATTATTTTTGCCTTAAGTTTTTACCTTTCTACTGTCGATGGGTCTCGAAACTGTTTCATCAATTATTTTGAGGGTGATGGTTCGAAATTGGTCGATTTCAAGACGAAAACCGTGGAAAACTTCAGCGAAATCCCTGTGTTTGTCGTCATCTTGAATAAGTTATTGTGACGCCACGAGGCGTCAGTCATAGTTTCCTCATTTCACATGGTTTTCGTCGTGAATCAACCAATTTCGGACCTGATTTCAGTTCAGACTATTTTAAAATGGTCATTTTCGGTCAAAAATTCTATTTTCGACTTCTTCTTCAAAACCGGTAGCCTGAATGCTTTGATACTTGGTGTGTATGTACCTTGTGTTGACATCTACTAGATTTGTTCATCCCTTGGCCATATCTTTAATTCTCTAATTTTTGCAAATATTTTTGTCATTTTTGGTTAAAAATGGAATTTCAACTAACCACTATTTCCAATGCTTTGGTGTTAGGCATACATGTGTTTATTATTCCATTGACAACTTTGTGTGGTTGTTTGGCGATATTTCATTTAAAAGTACAAATTTAAACGAAAAGTTGTGGCATATACAGCACTAATCTTTTGTACAATAGCCGTTGAGCAACAGGCCATTGGCCTATTTTTTATTAAATTATTAAATTTATTTTAAATAAATAAGTAATTGAACAAATGTACAACCTCAATGACTGTGAAACGAATTACTGTGCAAGCTAGTTTACATTCACGTGTGGTGTACAATTACATTCAAGCCACGGTTCTTTGAACCCTGTGTCAAAAAAATAATGAATGTGAGATTCATCATCGTAAAAAACATGGCAGTGTTGAAGATATGAAGATGGTTGGTAGGTTCGATTTCATGGTAAAATGTTGTGTGAATTCGTTGTACTTGTGAATCCTGATTTATCACCGTATTATTGAATGCAAGATCAAATAAGGTGACCTCCACCATCAATGTAGTTGTATCAAGTCGCTGTCGTAAGGAGATATTTCCTTTCTATCGCTTACCAACATTGTATTGTACTTCTTTCCATTATGAATTACATATATACACATTTGGAAACTTGCATGGTGCACTTTTACCCCCCACCCTCCTCAAATTATGACGCTATCAAGTCCATTAGTAGGTATACGAAGTCTATGTGTGTAGATGACTACAGCGTTGTGTAAGGGGTTCTTGTACGTAAAATGGGGCACATTCCCAGTAAAAATATTTATTTACACAGCTGACAAAATTTGCCTACATGTGTAAATATATGTTGGGATTTGGACAAAAAAAAACTCGTAAAACATACCAAATTTACAGTGACAGCTGTGATCAATTTTGGTGCCGATTGTTGGTGGGCTGATCAACATGATGTTGGATTATTTTTGAGAACGTTCTTCGTGTGGGAAATCACAAAATCATTAGCACTAAGTAGGCTGGTTTACCTTATTTTTGTGTCAGAGTACCCTGTACAAATGAAATGAATCGACATGCGATGATTACCAAAACAATTTGACAATCGGTGTCTCATTTGTTCACCGCCCCTCAACACGGTGATTTGTTATGACGGTAATTTGTTATGAGGGATATTTTTTCCCGGCCCTTTTCATCAGATATTACGAATTCATTGGCTCTAATATATCCTAGTTTACTTTAGTTGTTTCATCCCACTATTCTGTACATTGTTTTTACCTAGCAAAGGAAACAATCGGTGTCCGGCTTTGTTATATTTACACTATTGCAACACCTTATGTGGGCCCCCGATGTGGGCCTCGTGTTTCACTATTTTTTTTTACATTGAATATTACACGGCACGATATCCCTCAAATCAGAAGACACATTTATTGCTTGAGTTACTGTTCCTATTAAAGTGCCTGTGAAATGGCTGCTATTTTCACGCCTAAAATTATCCATTGATACATAAATATTATTAATTTTTATGTTTTTAAGCATGAATTATTTTTTTTTAAGTGAAAAAATGTGTTTTA